CACTACTTTAATCATGGTTACTGTAAGTCTGCCCAGCACCAGTCTCAAAATCTTCTTTTGCATAAAATGTATTTCTAACTCCAAGTTATGTTTATACTTTAAACAAAGATAGTATCATTAATCTTATATAATCTTGAATGTTTTCTTTTTTAGAATTTTATTGAGGTATTATTTACATACAATAAATCCTACCTATTTTCAATATACTGTTCAATGAGTTTTGACAAACACATATACGCTTGTGATCACCATCACAGTCAAGTTACGAAACATTTCTATCCTCCAGAAAGCTCCCTCTTACTCTTTTGCAATTACTCCTCCACATGCCCAGAAAATAATTGTTTTGCTCTCAGTCACCATAGATTAGCTCTGCCTGTTCTAGAAATTAACATAAATGAAATCAATCCGTATGTAGTTTTTGTATCTGCCTTCTTTCACTTAGCATGCTTTTTTGAGATCCATCCATGTTACTATATATATTAGCATATCATTTTTTTTTTATTACTGATGTTATTCCATTAATGGACATACCACAATTTGTTTATCCTGTTTACCCACTCACTTATTGATGGACATTTGGTTGCTTCTTATTTGGGGCTATTATGAATAATGCACCTATAAACATTCATGTAAAGTCTTTTTGAGAACATATATTTTCATTTCTTTTTGGTAGATTACAAAGAGTAGAATTTTCATTTTAAGTATTCATCTGAAGTTTTTGATGTTTATTCTACTTTTTTTTTCTGCCAGGGAACTCTGTTCCTTATTCTTCATATCCATGTTCCAATTCATATTAATACTTATTGAGATAAAATAGGATGAAATGTGATGCATATACAACTATATGGTTAAAATTTATTAAAGGTGAAAAAGTATTTCTAAAATATCTGTTCTTTGCGGGTACATATCTACCAAATAGCTTCACTAAAAACCTCAGAACAAGATACAAACCTAGGAGGCTCTAATTTACATGAATTCTTCTTTATATGAACTCTCTTTTATTTGGGAAGGATTGCAGAACAAAAATGAAACTCGGGGGGTTGTGCAAATTCCGAAAAGAAAAGGTCTGCCCCAAGTGTGAAAGAGGTGAAACCCTCTGAGTGTTCTGGAATCTTTATGACACATTTTTTTGACCTATATGATACGAAACCTTATTTATCATTCTTGGCAGGAAAAAGAAAATATAACCAAGAGATTTGAGGGAAGATAACATTTAAATGTCTACTATCAAGATGACATGAGCTTAAATATCTAGAGGATGCCCTAGTTGAGCATAAATACTTCTAGAAAACCAAAATTATCCCTAAAACTTGGAACACATTATAAGTCAACAGTACAATAACGTACCCAGGAACCAACAACAAATGAGTTCTCACATGTTAAGAATGTCAGAAAATTATAAGGAAAATGAAATTTTTACCTTACTTGCAAGCTAACAATCCTGCCATAGTTTCTGGGTTCTAGCAGAAGACATGAGACTTTTGGGTAACACCAAAGGTGTTATTATTCACAGCAACATCAGTAGCCAGAGTATCAACATTGTGCTAGCTTCGTGAGCTTCAGTTCCCATAGAGAAAGAAATAGGAAGAAAACCAGGTGACATCAAGTAGTACCTGCCTGCATTATAAGTCACATTACAGAAGTGATTCAGAGCTTAAGTATTTCTTAATGATAGTAAGCCTCCCTGACATTTGCCTCTAAAGGAAATGGTATCTTTATTACGTCAGACAGTAAACACACTGATCTTTTACATCAGGGATAGAACCCCACCTGCTAGAGTTTGCCATAATTTCTATGCTGTATCTTTCCTACCATTAACACTTTTTAACTTTTTAACACCGTAAGGTCTGTTGAATTATATGACCCAAGCAGTATGTTGATTGCAGTCTAGACCTACTCTGGGCCCTACTCAAAGCTAATAGCTATCCAAATGCTGGATGTTTAGGCTGAGGTTGTATTGCCGGGTGTAGAATGGGCTGTCTCCAGAACGCAAGGAAGCCTGCAAGACTATTTGGCGGTAGAGGAGACACGATGCAGCCATTTGTCTTTTCCTTTGGAAAAAATGTTCTAGCATAGCTCTGATCACTAGACCCTTTAAACCTTTACTGAATCTATGTAGGATTTATCTCCCCCTGTCTGAAGCATCTTACTAAGTTTGCCAGCACACAAGCCACCTCTCACTTACCCTTTTCAGGCACCAGTGCAATGCAATAGCTCTCAAAAACAATCTTGTATCCCAGGATGAGGATGGGGTTTGTAACAGAGATTGGTCAAGCCATTAAACATGAAAGGAAGCAGAAATAGTGGTCCTCATCACATCTCCGTTTAATTTGCCAGTCTGGCCTTTGCACAAAGTAAATGGACCCTGGGAATTGACTGTAGACTACCTCATATGTAACCATGAAGTAGCCATGCTCACAGCCCTACCTCCCACACTATGACAGAATTTACCCCAGGGACCGGGGATCTGATGTTGATGCTAGAACAACTCCCAGGTACACCAATTCCAACTCACCCACTACCACCAGAACAGCATAGGATCCAATTACCTCCCACCAGGTTTCTCCCTTAACACCTGGGGATTACATTCAAGATGAGACTTGGGTGAAGACACAAAGTTAAATTACATCACTATTATATGGAATTCTGATTATCATATGATGCTGCATTACTATCTGTGTTGCCTTAGTCAGAAGTTTAGATGCTCTAAGTTTCAACCAATTTGGAAATAAAATTTACACCTGGACCCTTTTTAAACTTTTGGCCCAGACCCTTATGGCCCTTTTCAAAGTGAGTGTCTATAAAGTTGAATCTCTTTACCCTGTCCCTGACCCCTTAATTTTCAGCTTGCTCTCTGTTAGCTTTCAGCCCTATGTCTCTAAGGGACTGATACCACCTCCCTCATGAGACAACCCGACAGTAGCAATAATGTCCACAAAGCCACCATGAAGCCAGTCTTTGGATTCTGAAGTGGCAGCTAAGGCCTCAAAGTGCCAGCTGTGGTTGTATGCATTTTGTAAAAGATGAGAATAGAGAATAGGAAGTTACAGGCAAAACAAGTAAAGACTTGTGTGTTTAGCCCTAGAAGGAAAAAGAAATAAGCAAAGAATTCATCTTGGTCAAAGCATGCTCTGAAAAAATGTAATACAACATGCAATAGAAGTTTCCATAAACTAAACTGTAATTATATAACCTGTACTTTAGGCTTGTTTGAGAATCACATGGATTTAGAGCATAACTATAGCTAAAATTTAAAGTCTGCATACACAAATAAGCAAAATAAATCAGTATTATTTTATTAATAAAATGGATGTTTATACACCAGGTATAAAGCACTGACTTCTGCTTCAGCTGGAGGAATTGTAAGTCAGTAATGCATCTTATAAATCAAGTGCATGAACCATCCATCATCTTCTGAGATTCTACATCAGTCATGTTCACAAAGCAGTTGCATGACTTGGAAACAACTCCCTGGATGAATAAATCAGTCACTGCCAGATATATGAATAAGTGATGTGACCCATAAATCACATGACTGCATACTCATGCTTCATCAATCAGAAACTTTTATTTATAATTGAAAATTTGAAAATACTTATTGTGAACAATTTACTAAACACTCATCCCAAATTCCCATAGTACTTTAAGATGAAATGCATAAGAAATGCAGACGTTTTCCTGTGCCAAATAGTTTTTTTTTTTTTTTTTTTTTTGCTAAACAGCCAATGTATATGTTTATTAGGATTTGCTAGTATTTGTACTTGTAGTAACATTTCATTGTCCCCATATGTTAAAAAAAAATAACCCGTTTTTTCTCTTCTCTGCTCTCACAACACTTCTTGTCACAATAGTGTATGAATTTTTCCACACCAAGCAATTCTCTGATGCTAACTGGGTGTCCTACAATTCAATTCAATCTTGCTGCTTAACTTCAGTTATCACAGACCCCACAAGTTGAGTGATCAGTTACACAAGAGTACCCCAACTTCAGGTGTCAGTCATAAGCAGCAGGTTCCTGGTGATTTATAATGTCTGTCCAACCTAGTTAACATATTGGGGGTTCCCACAAACCCCTTCTCTGTTTTGTCATTTGCTAACTGCTCTTTCAGGTGGAAGAGACAACTCATGAATAGTCAGGTAGAAGAATGTATTGAGCAATATATGTGGGGAGGGGCTGAGAACTTTCACACTCCCTTGGAACAAGCTATCCCCCAGGTGTTCAGCAATCAGAAATCTCTCCAACCTCTGTTCTTTTGGGTTATTATGGAGGCATCATTACATAAGGATGATTGATTAAATCATTGGCCATCAGTGTTTGACTCAACTTTCAACCTGTCCTCTGAACCTGAAAGTCCAGGATTGGGACTAAAATTCCCAAACCTCTAACCACAGGATTGGTTCCCCTGGCAACCAACTCTCAGTCTGATCCTATCCAGGAGCCCACAGCCTTCTGTTATCTTCTTAGCATGCAAAAATTATGTAACAATATCACAATCGCATACGGAAAATAGGCAAACAAACTTATTCACAATCATACTTTTAGACAGTGTCTTTTGAGATATATGGATATAAATGTATCAACTACTGGAAATTATTTCTTTGAGAGAATGTTTTTGAAACTAGGTAAATTATTTGAGATTATTTGAGAGATGTTTTTGAAACTAGGTAAAGTAATGTAATTGTAATTCAAAGTAAATGTTAACCTAAATAATTACGTTTCACAGAATACACTAATGTTCCAATTAGTATATCTCAATTGTATTAATATAATCATTTTATGTTTGCATAGTCTTTTATAATTCATTATTCTCACAGTTTTGTTAGTGGTCATCACCATTTAATAGACAAAGAAATTATATAAGATAATTAAAATCCAAAATCACATTGCAATTCAGCACAACTGGAATTTAGGTTTTCCATGTTCTATTTCTGTATTCTTTGTTTCACCACGTTGCCTTTCATACATTTTACTCCTACTAGAAAGGTATGGATAATTTTTCATCTTTTTATAAATGTATAAAATTTACTGATTGGATTTTGCATTTCGGATGACAAATGGCTCATTTCTGGATAGATTCCTTATAAGTCATGACAAGTTCAATGACTTTTGTCATTGAACAGAAACCACTATTGAGTGATGGAATTTCATATACCTTTAACTGTCATTCACCTGACTGCATAATCACAAATTACTGATAATTTAAAATCTATCCAAATGTGTCCACACATATTAGCTGATAATCAGGCCACTTTACAAGGAATGTGAGGCCACCCACTGTCCTTATTCCTGTGGCTTAATGTGGGGGAAAGTTCAAATAATTCTAGTTCTCATTATCAAATAGGTAGCTTATGTAAAATCAATTCATTGTTTAGCAAGGAAAACTAATACCCTGCCCTATAAAGAGTACAACATTCAGTGTATACCGTAAGAAATACTAATTAAAAGTCATTTTTATTTATTGACATGGGCATTACTTTGCCTTTTACCATTCAATTTTAGTTTCAGATATTTTTCATTAGAACTGTTGTTTTAATCAGTTTACAGGTTGTGTTTCGGCAGCTCTTTCCTTCTCATAGCAGTTATCATTTGGGGAAGAAAAAGTGAAAATTGTACTACAGAATTTACAGTATTAACTTCAAAGTATGGCATTTAGAGTTAGATTCTTTTTGAGTTGCTGCTTGGTAATTTGCTAAAAATAGTAATGATTCCTCCCTCATATCTCTGGAAGAGCTTTATTACACATTCATTAAATTGTGCTTAGGTAGCATAATTATATGGAGTTCAGCATATTTCAGTTTATCAACAGAGTGAGTCACTTGGGAACTGTATAGACAAGGTGGTATGGGGCAAGATTGCTGGGAAGACAGAATTTGCTTCTATTTCTAGTTTAGGTGGTGTTTTTGTTCTTGTTTTATTTTGAGTATGTCAAGGATTCCTCTGATCTCAGTTTCTCTGTCTTTGAATTGATAATTTGATTTCTTCCTTTATGGTTCTTAAGAATATTGTGAGCAAGCAGTAGCGAAGTGGGAGTGCTCTGACTTCCTCAGATAAGACTACAACATACGTCCAAAAGCTTGTGACGAGTCACGAGAGGGTTTAGGGCTTCAGGATTCCATTTAGTGTATATGTTTAAAGGAAAGTAACTCATTTTCGCAGTTGGAATCCGCTGCTTTTAAGAAATCTTGGGTACGTTATAACATTAACTTCAAACCTACTCTGTGTATAGCTTTTCATTTCTCTTTTAAATTCCTATTGTTCTTTTATTGATAGTGAAAGCATGTATCTCCTCTTTATCTTTGACAAACATATTCAGTAAATGCGATTCCCCAGTATGTTCATCACCATTATAGAATTTCTGTGAAATTCTTAGATTTGATAAAGTTTACAGAGAACTTTAGCTCAAACTAAAATGTGTATGATCATTGCGCTATGCACATAGCAAATTCTTGGTAAATATCAGTTAAGTGTAGATTAAGTTGAGGATTTTTTAAAACAACAATTTTATTAGAAAGTTATTATTAACGAAGTTATATTTTGGTAAAGTGCGCTAGTGCACCTGCTTCATGATATCTAAACATTCTAGCATTTATGACAGGATTTTTTTTTTTTTTTTGAGACAGAATCTTGTTCTGTCACCCAGGCTAGAGTGCAGTGGTCCAATCTTGGCTCACTGCAATGTCCACCTCCTGGGTTCAAGTGATTCTTCTGCCTCTGCCTCCCAAGTAGCTGTGATTACAAGCACCCGCCACCATGCCCAGCTAGTTTTTTTTTTGTATTTTTAGTAGAGCCGGGATTTCACCATCTTGTCCAGGCTGGTCTCAAACTCTTGACCTTTTGATCCACCCACCTTGGCCTCACAAAGTGCTGGGATTACAGGTGTGAGCCATAGCACCCAACCAGGATTTTATTTCTTAAGACTCCACCTACACCCCTACCATCCAGGAAGCAGACTAAAATAATCATCATTTTAACCATCCCATACTGTCCATCTGGATGTCAGATGGAAGCAAAGAGATCTGTGACCATTTGAAAATAACTGAGGTGGCCTGGGTAGCATTTCTTAATGCAACCTACAAAACCAGGTTTTAATATCCGCATCTTTGAACTATTACTAAGTGGATAATGGAGGCCACATTTTCCTCCACAGTCAATTACCACATCTTCTAATTCATTATTCTTTAAGTACTTCAAGATAGTTACAATAGAATTAAATTTTATGTCATGCTCTTCATCATCCAACAGAGTACATTGCAGAATCATCTTTAAGCCTTTGACCTTTTCCCAGTGAAAACATTTCCCTTGCCTGTGCTTTCACTCTGAATTGTCAGCCTATGTCAACCTATGCTTCACTCTGAACTATTACTCTTGGAATGCCTGCCCAAGACAAAGGGAAAAAAGGAAAATGGAGAAAATGGGAAAAAGAAATGGAACATTAAGCAAAAGCAGCATAGCTCCAAGAAAATCCTTAGAAGAATATAAAACAATTTGTCAGTGCTTAAAATTAAATGCAATCTAACAAATAACATCCCAGAATATTAATGCCTTGAGAAAAGCTTGACATAATTCCTGGATATTTTGGAGTCAGCAGTATAATATCAGTCCTCCCCACTGCAGGTTCATTACAGGATTGCAATTCTTGATTATCTGTGGTTTGGGGCCATGTAACTAGCCTGGCAAATGAGGTGTGAGCAAAACTGAAGTGTGTCACTTCTCAGCTATAGAGAGACTCTACAGAGCAGTCTTTTCCCTCTGCTAGAAAAGGCAATATTCATTATGTGGCTGTTCAACTAGCCAGTACCTGAGAACCCATGATAAGTACCTGGCAATGTGCAATGGTCAAGGAACATGGGTAAGAAATCAACCTTTATTCTTTTAAGGCACTGAGATTTGAAGTTGTGTTTTATGGCAGCATAACCCACACTATTCTGACTTTATAGATAGTCATCTTTGTTAAGAATAATGAAAGGAAAGTTCTCAGCAAGTACTCTTTCATACTTTGAGAAACTTTCAACTTGCATTTGCTCTAGTACTTAGACCTTTATTTAATGTAAAATAAACAGATGGCTTAAACTCATACAATAATGCTTACTCATTAGATTTGTGGGGATAATATGAATTATTCTCATATGGTTATTTATTGAATATTTTATGGTATTCAATAGATTTATTCAGTAGCTTCATCTATTTTTAGAATATAAGTCAGTTCTAGCATAAAAAACTTCTACTCCTTACATAATGAAATGGGTTCACTTGTTCCCAGGTGGCTGATTTTTCTCATATGATGTGATGTTACACAAGGCTGCACCATTCTTCCCTGTTAATTCCGTATTTGGCACACTACAATGTAATAAGTCAGGCAAAAACTTCAGTGAGGAGAAATCTTGAGTCTCCACCATTATCCCCACTTTGTTTATGAGTTCAATGGTCATGAACTGGAAGAGTTGAAAAAAGAAACACACATCCACAGTGTGGACCATGTGATCTACCTGAACAATAGTCTGCTCAGAAGCAACCATTAGATGACCATTTATAAGAAAAGGAAATAATCTCCCATGCTGGGATTATTTCAAGAGATTCATTCATGAGTCTTCTCCCCAAATCTTTTTTGTCACCAATATGATAACTTACTCTCTGAATCCCTATCCATGTGGCCTAAGAAATTCTTCCCGTTCATAAATTATGATAGACCTGTATTTCTGACAATTTCTCCAGTTGCAAAGTCTTCCACTTTGGCCTTTCTAACACAGTTAAATTTTTATCCTTTCTGATAATACAGATTAAGTAGGGAATTAATGAACTGTTCATCCACTTCAGTTCTAGAAATGGAATGGTCAATTAGTTATTGCCAAAAATAACTGCAGAGCAAAGCACTTGTATGACAACTTTGGCTCTGCTGCCTGTTAGAGTAACTATTATAATCTTGCCCCTTTTCATTAAGTGCTGCTACTTTGCCTCTGTTACCGAGGGATTCTATAACCCCATTGAAATCAGACAGTCTGTTTCAGTGTCACCATTTCTCATCTTTTTCCTTGGCCTATAGAGAATAAGCACTACAGGGTTTCGAGTAATGTATTTATCTACACTAATTTATTTCTCAGTTCTGTGGGGAAGGGACTATAAACTAGGATCTCTCAGAAAACAGAACTACAGGGTAACTGAGTCAATTACCTCTCAAAGAAAATTTACTTCAGCTATCCTATTTCCCCAAGATTTTGTTTCCTAAGTTTCTACGTTATACTAAGGAAATTCTGACATCTCTATTTCTTTCCTTTTTTAAATAATATCAACTTTTATTTTAGATTCGGGCAGTACATGTACAAGTATGTTAAATGGATATATTGTGTGATGCTGAGATTTGGGGTACAAATGGTCCCACCCAAGGACTGATCATGGTACCCAGTAGTTAACTTTCCAATCTGTGACCACTCCTTCCCTCCCTCCTCTAGTAGTTTCCAGTGTCTATTGTTGCTATCTTTATGTCCATGAGTGCCCAGTGTTTAGCTCCCACTTATAAGTAAGGACAGGCAGTATTTGGTTTTCTGTTCCTGCATTAATTTGTTTAGGATGATGACCTCCCACTGCACTCATGTTGCTGCAAAAGACATGATTTTTTTCTTTTTGTGGCTGTGTAGTATTCCATGTTACATATGTACCACATTTTTTTATCCAATCCACTGATAGAGACCTAGGTGAATTCCACGTCTTTGGTATTGTGAAGAGTGCTAACATGAAGAGACGAGTGCACTGGCATCTCAGTTTCATTCATCATAGGCCAATATGGAGCCCAAGTGTTAATCAATCCACTAGAAAACATTTAGCAGCACTCCCATTTGCTCAAAGTAGAAATCTAAATCGAGAATCTTAAGTACGCTCTAGCTGTATAAGCCCATATTAACAATGACAAGCAAAAAGTCTATCCAAATATGATATCCTTCCCATCCTTGTCTATAATATCAGAGAATATTTTCATAAATTATCCATATTTTTTTTGCTATATTAGCAAAAATGTTGCAATTATTTTTGGTGTGGAACCTGCTTTATTTTGTAAATGACTCCCTAGGTTATATTGAAACCTGACACAATTTATAGGCCTTGAGGCAAAAAAATTGAAGTAGACATATTGAAATAAGAAGAATTAGAGTTTCCTTGCAAGATAATTATTTCAAATGAGGCATTTACCGGATGCAGAAAGAACTAGACATATAAGCTAGAAAAGGAGAGGTTGCTTCTACTGGCATATGAAGCAGACTGACAGGAGATTCAGGGAATCCACAATTGTCCAATTTCCCAAAGTTACTGATTAACTTTCCAGATCCTTCTCATTTTCAATAAATGAATAATTTTTACTCAAGAGAGTTAATGTAGCTATGAATCTAATCTGCAGTACAATTCAACTACCCTGGTACAGTAAGTTTGATGAATGTGGGGACTGATTACCAAAAAAAAAAAAAAAATGACAATGAGGTGGCAGTAGCACACAATGAACATAAGATAAGCATTATCTGGGCAACACCTTGCCAGGTTTTGGGGTGGAGGAAAGACCTCAGAGCATGAGAACATCCAGGAGACACAGCACAGGGACCGCTGTTCATAGTGAAACAAGGGCAAGAGAACTCCTAGGAGAAAAAGAGAGATCAAAGAGGCTTACGTTTTAGGTAATGTTGTTCAGCAGTCTTACAGTGAATCTCTGGGGAGTCCAACCTTCCAAAGATGAGCATTGGCAACTTTTATATCTGCAGGATTTATGTTATCTCTGACTAGAAAGCGTTGGTACATTTTCACGGAATATGGTAAGCCAAGAGGATCTAAATGGTTAAAAATCTCCACATTTAGGGTATGTTTAAAACAACAGGATATATAAGTTAGAGTTTAGGTGTCAAGCTTTTGAGTTAACAGACTTCAGCCTGTTATAAAAAAGTAAACAACATATGGTCAATAGGCAGAGGCCATCTTGGGCTCCTTTATGTAAAACCAAGAAATCAGAAAGCTTCTGAATTTGTACTTCTTCAACTCTGCTGATATAAGAGATAAGATATCATCTTAAGGCAATCATAGAAATATCTTGGTTCGCTGGTGATATTTTGATGCATTCAA